TTTGGATCGTTTTTCATGCGTTTTCTATATAAAGTGTCCTAAAAAATTTCTTAACAATCCTTTTAAGATTTATTTTAGAGAATTTTTTTTTAAAAATGTTTCAACCATGGATAAACCAAAAAATGATTGTGTTGCCATGGTAGATGTTGAAGGAGACGGAAATTCAAATTCTGTTGTTTCAGAAATTCATTTCAAAACTAAAGTTGTTGCTGAAAACAAGGAAGAAGATGGTAAGGAAGTTAGACAAGGAGGTGAACATCCAACCGTCCATCATGCTAATTCTGAAACATTAAAAATTCAAATCCCTCAAAGGGAGGAGAATTTTCATGCAGTACAAAATCAGGAAATTGCAAATCCTAAAATTAGTTTGGCTTATCACGTGGATGGAGGTAGCAATAACTTGAAGCCCAACATCAATTTGAATTCAAATTCAGAATTCAAAAGTCCGGGTATTGTGGAGGAAAGACGGGTAGCAAGAGCTGAAGATGTTAATTCATATCAAAATGTTGAAAATCAGGATGACATGGCTGAACTCGTAAAAGAAAACTGCTCCATTTCGGGATTTCAAAATTCAAGTTTTGAAGTACCACAAATTATGGAAGTAGATAAGGTTGTTGAAGAGTTAAATCCAGATTTCTCTACAACTAATACAGCTGGACTAATTGTTGTTAGTCCTTGGTGTTTGCCTAAGATAGCTGAGAATTTGAATATTCAAAACCCACAAATGATGGAGGTTGTTATGGTAAATTTTGAGAAGGAGCAAATTTCAGTTTTGACTCCTTCTAAGGCTGCAAATACTTCTGTTGCTGAAATTTCGGAAGCTATTGAAGTCAAAAATACAGGATTTCAGGAGGTAATTGCAATTCCTTTAACTGATTTGGCGGCTGGACCTAGCATTAATGCTGAACAAATTTTTAATTCAGTTTCTATACCTGAATTAAAAAACAGTTTTTGCATATTAAGAGATACTTCTCCTCTATCAGATATCTCTTTGAATTTTAAAAAATCTGCTCTTAAAAAAGACAATTGTCTTTTTAAGAAGAGTAAGTCCCCCGGTTATAAGCCCACTTTGATCAAAGAACTTCAAGCATTAGGACCGGTGAAAGACATTCCCAGAAGGAAGATTGCAGAAATCAAAGTGAAGAATGACATGAGAGGTTCTTCTTCTCTACTATCTCAATAAAATGCAAGAAAATTATCCCGATGATAACTACATAGTGGATACATACTTGGAGGTGGAGCAAATTATCAAAATGTTTGGTTTAATGCTATCTTGGAAATCTGACTTTGGAGATTGGAACAATTTTATGGAATATCTATCAAAGATATTCTTAAGTGATGGTTGGATTTTATTGTTAAAATGTAATTTTCTTTTTAGCTTTTATTACTTTGCTTTTCATCTAACTTGTTATTTAAAACTTTTTTTAACTGATTTTGGAATCATTACTAAGTCTTATTCTCTAACTGGATGGGAACTTTGGGATACTAATCAACCCCGAGTTGTTTATTATTTTGGTATCCCCTGCATCTCAACAGTTTCAAAATAGGAATTAGTGGGTTTCATATCATTTATAATAAGTTTAAATTAACAAATTTTAGTTCAATAAGGTCCTTTATTCTTATTTAAAAAAAACGAACCATTAGCTTCTTTTACCTAGTTTGTATTAGGTTGTCTTTTCCTTTTTAATTAATGCAATTATGCATTTCTTAAAAAAAAAATCTCTTGAAAGTGGTCATTAAGAGTATGTTTAGGAGAAATTTTGTGTGTAAAGAGAAAGATCTTCTTTTTTTTTTTTTTAAGAGTGAGAGATCTAGAGAAAGCGAGTTATGAGGGAATCACAAAGTTGTCCAAAGTGAGGATCTTTTTATCTTCTTCAAGTTTCTTTCCAACTTCTTTGGAGGATCTTGAGAGAATATCTTCACCAAGGGGTCTAGGTATTTTGGTTTCACTAGGAAGATGAAAAAGGACATGATGGTATGCTTCCATCACTGGGATAGTGTAAAAGACGATGGTTCTCTACTACACCTTGTTGGTGGAAGAGAGTTTGTAAGGGCTTCTCCATCTTACTATGTGGGAAAAAGGAGAGTATCTATTGTTTTGTGCATTACCTGGAGAAGGAGTCTCCAAGTAGTGGATGTAGGTCTAGTTGGACCGAACCACTATAAAATTTTGTGTTCTTCTATTTTTTTTATTTTTTCCCGCATATCTTACATTTATAATTTTTTTGATTGAAAAATCCTCTATGATAATCATTTCTATAAACAACTACATTTTTTTTAAACCAGAATATGTTAATTCAAAAAGAAATTACAAGAGCAAAAAACAAAAGCCAAAAAGCAAAGGAAAATATATAATCAATTGAAAAAGAGGGCTCAGTACTTGGCCGGGACTCCCAGCTTCCCCGAAGCCCCACACAGACCATCCATTTTGGTGAAGAAAGAGCTCCAATCGATCCAACAAAATCTCACCAAAGGTTGCCACCAGCAAAGATGACAAGGAAACGAGCCCCAGCCACATCATAGCCATATAAACCCACTGCGGCCAAAATATCAGAAAAATAAAAACAACAAAAGAGCATAAATCAAAGGAGAAAAAAGAAGGCTATCTTCCTCTTCGGCCCCTCCCATGAAACCTTCCCGGGTAGCAACAGAGCCCATGGGTTTAGCACGAACCAATGTAAAATCTTGTCCAGGATTAGATCCCCCACCAAACTCCAAAGAATCGTCAGAATTTGATCCAAATTCAGACGAGCAATGTAGCCAATCAATATGAGTCTGCACATCCAACCCAGAATTATCACCCACATGATAAGACAACGCATGGGACTCAATCAAGCTCACAGGCACATCAACATAAGCATTAGATTTAACTAACACTTGTTTTCCAACATTATGACCACCACCATCCACATCCCCTCTAACAATCGGTTGAGACACTTCCACAGCAACAAAAATAATATTAGAAACAGGAGAAACATCATAACAAACCCCCCCCCCCCCCCCCCCCCTCCCCCCCCCACCCCACTATTTCCAGAATTAATAACACCACCCGATTTCTGTAAAACCAGAACCTGAGCCTCAACAGCGTCAGGGATAACAGAACAAGAAGGATCGGACACAGTATAAGTTATAGCATTATTCAGAACAGGATTAGCCACACACACCGGTTGGACAGCACAGCCCGGCGAACACCTAGCCACAGTGTCAACCGTATCACAAAAAGGAATATCACCGCCAACAGCCAAGTTAACCCCGGTCACAGTATCCAAATGAGGCACATCATTGAAATTATTATTCTGAATGTCACCAACAACATCCACAGATAAAATCGAATCAACAATAGGCAAAGGAGCTACGGGTAAAACACATGAATCATTTTCTTTAAAATTATCATGTAAAGAAGTGAGTCCCACAGACTCACCAACAACAGGAGGGAGAACCACCTCAGGAATAATCAAATTCGCACTGGGAGAGATGACCAAACTCGGATTGTCAGCAAAGGGACGACAGTTACCAGAAGCATGCCCAAGTTTCTTACAAGAAGAGCAAAAAGAGGGAAATTCTTCAAAAATCACTTGTTGGACTTACCCAGAAACCTCGAGACCTAATTAACCAAACCTTATCGGGATAGGAATTGGTAACGTCCAATTCAACTAAAACACGAGCAATGAATGGTCTGGAACCTATAGAAGTGGCAGTATCAACTTTAAGTGGTTTGGCAAAAATCAAACTGAGACCATGAAGGATTCTGGGAGAGAAAAGATGGAGGTGAAGCTGGGGGAAAGAAATCCAAATCGGTACAATCAGAGATTCAACACCAAAATCCACCATTGGCGACCATTTTGAAAGTTTCATGTAACAGTTATAAATAAGGTAAGAACCATGGAAGAACACACAACAGTAATCAAGATCATTCTTAAGTTTGATAAGAACATGTGTTGGATCCAAAAGGTTACAGAAAATTCGCCATTTAATTTCAGATTGAAGAAAAAACGCCTGATTGAATCCAGAGAAGGGAGTTTAGACGGGAAGAAACCAACCAGAGAGAATTGAAACGGAGCCGCTAAAGCCGCAATTTCAGTTTCCGAAATCCATAAAGAGGGTAAACCACGAAACGATGACACCCTAAGGTCGGGAAAAGGAGTAACAGACGAACCAGCAAGAACTTCTAAAAACGAACGAGAAGAGGAAACCCCCTCCAAAAAATCAGGATCACATAGTTTTTTCGGCGGCATGCCGGCAAACGCCGGAAAAACACAGACCAAAACCAAAAACAAGGACCAGACAAACACCAGAATATAAGAGAAGAAAGGAAAAACTGCCCTGAAGGAGAGAATCCACCACGGCAAGCAGAGACGAGCCGCCACGGAGCGATAGGGCAAAGCCCTAGCGGAGTGGGATGAGCACACATCTTTTTTAACTTTTTTTTTTTCTATAAACAACTACATATTTCAGGATTAGTGATTCAATTTTTTAAATGATCTTAAAAGGTTTTCAAAAATCCAAATTTTTTTTAATAACCAATTCACCCCCTTCCCTCTTGGTTAACTTTGGAAAATTTTATAAGGTCTAACAATGTACACGAACTTTCAAAAAAAATTATTAGGCCTAATCAAGTCGAAAAGAATTCACTAGTATTTGTAGTTGATTAAAACTAAAGCTTTTCCTATGGGAAAGGCCTTTACATTATGATATATTTTGTATCACAAGTTGCACATTTTATCATATTTTGTGTCACTTTATAATCTATGAAATTTATTCTGATTAGAATGAATCATAATATCCTCCTCATCTGATTTTTTAAAATAAATAAATTTTCAAATTTGTTTCGGGCCAAAGCTGGTCGGTTCAACGGACCACGGCAAGCGTGGCGTTGTTGAACTCCAAGCTAAGGTGGGGCCCACGAATAATGGTGGGCCCCAAACTCATGAATCTTCTCCGCTAGACTAAAATCTTTCTCTGCGTGCAAGCTAAGCACATCAATAGTTTTGTACGGAAAGTAGTATTCTCTCTCCCCTCTTTCTCTTTCTCTTTCTCGATCTAAGAGCTGTCTCTCTTTCCTCGGCATCTTATTTTAGCTCTCGTACTCTCGTTTATCTGACAGAGTTGGAGCTCATCAGTTCTTCCTTCATTCTCTTTCAGTGAGACAAAGAAAAGAGAGAGAGAAAGCAAAGGATTGTGCAAAAATGGAGATTTCTAATGCTAACGAGCAGCAGGTAATGTCTATTATTATGCAATGAGCTAATGAATATAACTCATTTTGCATCAATAGGGATCTCTATAATGCTTAAGTCTGAGTTGCTTTTTCTTAGAGTTTGTTTGGCCTGAATTAGTATTTAGTAAATTTTGTAGATTCAGATTTAGTAATCGTAAGAGTACTAAAATCTAAAAATTGTTTGGCGTTATAAGCTTTAAATTTTGCTTAATCTTGATAAACTGCTTCAATACTATTTGTTTCAGAGTTTTCTAACAGGATATATTCATAAATTCATTCTGATCTATTAAGGATGAGCTATAATGAAGCTGAAATTAAATTTATCATGATAGTAGAATTCAAAAGCTCATTCTATTTGGCAGAATCTAAGTTAAATCTCACCTAAATCTTACCTAAAATTAAATAGAAAGCATCCCCTTAATTAGTTTTTTGTTTAGAAAGAAAATGAAGCACGAAGTACTTTCTAAATTGATTATGCATCAACAATCATTTAAATGAGATTTTTAACCTCCTTTCATATCCAATTCTCCCAAATCAAACACGACCTATGTAATCAATTTATTGAATTATCACTTCTTCTCATTTATTTTATATATATATGATCAGATCAATGGATCTTAAATCCATTATTTTCCTTTTGATAAAAGCAGTGCATAATGAATCATTCATTTATGAAAAAATTTAGCAATTCTCTTAAGACTCATCCCAACCTTTTCATGCTTCATAGTATTTATTTTAATATTTGTTGATGAAATCGTAGGTTATGTCAAGTCATGGCTTGGAAGAACTTTTCATTGCTTGCCGGAAGCCACCAGCACCAGCGCTGGAGAAGAAGACCAGAACTCAACCAGAGCAAGCCCTCAGGTGCCCACGTTGTGACTCTACTAACACCAAATTCTGCTATTACAACAACTATAGTCTTTCCCAGCCACGCTATTTCTGCAAAGGCTGTAGAAGGTATTGGACTAAAGGAGGATCTCTCCGGAATGTTCCGGTGGGCGGCGGCTGCCGGAAGAACAAAAGATCATCTTCTTCCTCATCTCTTTCTTCGTCCTCGAGCTCCTCTTCCAACTCCATCATTCCTTCCTCAGAAAAACCTCAAGATGACCAAACGAGCTTCATTTCTTACAGCCATGGTGAACTAACATTAGCCTTTTCAAGGCAGGTGTGGCCTTCATTTGCTGATCATGAACGTTTCTTTCTAGGAAACCCTAACCCTAATTCTGGAAGTTCAGGAGGATATCTTAACTTTATGAGAAATGGGTTTCTTGAAACTAGTAATATAAATGGATACCATCAAATAAACTATGGAAATAATGGCAGTGTTGTGGAGGAAGTGGAAGGAAATAATCCAAACACAACTGAGAGATCTTGCAAAATGTTGATGGATATACAGATGTCAAATGGTGTTGATGGAAGCTTGGGAATGGAGTATTCTTCTTGGCATGGTATTATCAATAGCTCTCTTATATAGTATTATGAGAGCTAGTTAGTTAACTAATGTGTGCATGGTTATATATAGTTTATAGGTTTATAAGATATGAATATTTTCATTTGGTTTTGTTTGTTTGGTTCCTTCTGGCCTAGTTTCATGAGTTTCTCTTTCTCATCAACAAGAGTTTTCTTTTCTGTAGCCGTAATCCTTTTTTTATTCTTCTACTGAGAGTTGATTTGATCAGGATCATCATTGATGAATATGAGAAATTAATTCCATTTTGTTTCTAGTTTTTGTCTTGTTTCCTTTTTGTCGTTTATCCACCAAAGCTTTTCGGAGCTCTTTGTGATTGCTGCTCATGGGATGGTCTCTTCACAAGGATAATGATAGAGCACTACAGGAAAATCGCGTGTTATCGGCAGATATAATTTGTCGGAAAACGCTCAAAATCTGTCAGAAATTAATATTTTCGGCGGAGTTCCAACGGATTTTTTTCGCCGGTTACACGCTCATCGAAAAAGTCATACCGGCGAAAATTAGGCCGCCTGAAATATTTCCGGCGAAATTTTCGCCGGTATAATTTCCGGCAACTATTTTGCGCCGGAAAAAAAAAGAAAAAAAAATTGAATGCCACCCCACTAGGCCCACCAGCACCAGCCAGGCCCGCCCATATCCTACGGCCAGCTCACTCTCGGCCCATGCGAACGCCCCAGCAACGCTTCTGCGGCCAGCCCAACTCACACCCAGACTGATGCTAGCCCAACCAGACCCATGCGACCAAGACAGCGGGCCAGCTGACCCGCACTGCAGCCCGCCTTCGGTGGGATTCGAACCCCTGCCAACCCGGCATTAACCCTGCAACCAATGCGCCACCAAGTTAAATCTACACTCTTTTGTTTTTTTATAAATTTATATTAGAAGTGATATCAATTTCTTTAATTAAATAAATTTATTTTAACAAAGACTTATTAATTTAATTTAACAATTTATTATTAATTTAATTAATTTCAGTTGATAATATTTAAAATTATTTAATTTGATAATGAATTATTAATTATTATTTAATTAATTTAATTTAATAATATCTAATTTAATTAAATTTATTTGATAATAAGTTATAAAATTAGTTAACTTAATTTAATAAAATATTTAATAATAATTAATAATCAATATTTATTATAGTCATTATTTAATAAAAATTAATTTTGATCGGAAATTCCGTCGGAAATAAATTCGCCGGAAAATCGTCGGAAAATCCATTGGAAATGTTCCGTCTGTAATCCGCCGGAAATTGTGACTAATTTTTTTCCGCCGAAAATTCTGTCAGAAATGAGCTGTTTTCTTGTAGTGGAGAATGCTTTGGTTTTCCTTAGTTATTCTTTCAAGACCAAGGAGAGAGATGCAGGAAACAAACTATAATAGATTCGTCTAGTCATTGTTAACTAATTAAGCATATTATATAAAGTTATGAGATTTAATTTTTTTTCCCTATAAAAAATTTGTCAATATCAATCATGAGCATCAATAACATCTAATTATCAATTAGATAAATATGTGAAAATTTGTTTGCATTATTTTTCTTTTATTTTTTTATTCTTCATTTTCATTCCCAAAATGTTTTACTTATCGACAACCACCATTTCCTATTTATATTTATATATTGCATGGTGTGTTGTATCATGATCTTTGGCAAGTTGGCTGATTAAAGTTAGCGGAAGAGAATATACATTAAATGGGTCATGTGCAAGACAACCCACTTGCATGCACAACATGTGTCTGCATGAGCACGATTAACAGTTCATCACTATCAGAAAATGGGGCTACTGCAACACTATTTTGGACCTATACCAGCGGTTTTAACCCCTACTATTTTTCTTGCAGCAGTTCTAAACCGCTACATATCCATTTCAATTGCAATACGCTGCAATGACATTCCGCAGCGGTTTAAGAACCGGCGGGGTAGACATGCCGACTTTAGCAGCGGTTTTAACTGCTGCAATGCTCCAGAATAGTGCTGGTTAAAAAACGATATCTGGAACTTTGTGGCGGTTTTAACCGCTGCAAAGCTCCAGACTAGTGTCTGTTATAACCGCTACAAGTAATGAAAAAAATGATATCCAGTAATGTGGCGGTTTAAACCGGTACTTTTCTGGAGCTTTGCAGCGGTTAAAACTGCCACAAAGTTCCAGATTTTTTTTTTTTTTAAAACGTACCCCGAATGTCCACCGAAAACACAATTGTAGCGTGACTCCTGGGAAGAATAATAACTATCTATTTTTAATCCAAACAGTGATTACATCCCCATCAAAATGTTAAAGACTAATAATAACCACAACATGACTCCTGGAAGAATAAAAACTAGTTTTAGGCTTCACTGTCAATAACAAATCTAGATAAATTGCCATTTGAAATAAGTATGTTCAATACAAACTAGTATAAACAAATTACAATAGCAATCAACCAAGCTATGCACCATGCATTCAACATGGATAAAGTTAATAAATATGATCCGTGTTCCTATTTGAATTGCGACAGACGCATTTTAAAAGAATTTGATTGTTCCATCAAGGACGTTGTCATTCATGCTAAGATAATTTTCACACAATTATGTTTGGGTATGACAATAGTCGTTCCAGTACTTTTACCACTCAATAGCATCAAGGTCTATACCCACGATTCAAATCTCATCTGCATTCATCTTGGATTTCAAAATTCATGCATCCATTATAATAACCACAGACATCAATCTCAAGGCCATTAGCATAAATTGATTATTGATTTAAATCTTTACAACACTAATTAGGAACTAAGTCCTCCATAATCCCACCATTGCTGAGGGGCATGACGTCAAACAAGCACTATCCTTGTAAGTTTATTTCATTTATAAAAACTTGCATCATCATCTCCAAACAAACCACTATTCCAATGAGAGAAGAATTTTACAAACCAAAACAAAGGCAAAGCACTTCATACTACTCACGAATATAACCCACAAACATATATAAGAGCTATGAAAAGTGCTTAAAAAACCATTGTAGTGGCCATCAAGAAAAAAAAAAATACTAGATAATCTCAAAATGAAAGGATCATTCATCATTCTTGTTTTGTGATCTATAATATCAAAATTTTAAGCAACATCCCAAAAAGTAGAATTACATACCAAGATGCATTTCAAAACAACTTGCACAAACATGGGTTATCTTCAAAATGAAATTCTCTTTCTTCCATAACTTCATCTTTAAGAAGAAGTTTCATTGCCATCCTATCAATTATAAAAAGATTGTAAAATATTAGTATTCAAATAACCAATATTAAAATTAGAATGTGAAAATTTACATACCATTTGTGAGCTTCCTTGAGGTGGATGCTGCATTCGAATTTCTTGCTTGAATTGCCTCATTTCAGTACGTAATGAGTTGAACTCCGATCTGAACTCCTCTTTAGAAAGGGTGCTACGGCACCGGTTTTAACCGGTGCAAAAATTAATTTTTAGCACCGGTTCTATGACCGCTGCTAAAAAGACAACTTTTTAGTAATGCATGTTTAATGAGGAAGCTTACCAAGTTCACTTGCCAATGAAACAACTTAAAATTTATGTCTTATGAGGAATCTAACATTGTCTTGTAATGAAAAAAATTTTAAATTGTCGTAATAATAAATAAATTTAATAAAAAAATTGTTCGAAAATATTTAATGACTTAAGGTTTTGCAAATTAAGATATGTTGATCTCATGTGACTCAATGTGTGGTTTATTACTGATTTTATGATAATAAAATCTATACAAAGCCATATAATTTTTGCTATGTTTTTTCTTATAATTTAATCATTTTATAAAAATCATCAAGATCAAGATATTTTTCACTAAGCTATATTGGAGGTTGGTCACTTGAAAGATGAGCTCAATGAAATAAATTTAGTATGACTTAAAAAATTTTTAAAGGCTCCGAATTATATTATATCTTAGTGCATGGGCTTAGTCATTTTTTATATAAATTATGTATGATTAGAATTATTAAAGATTCGAGAGATTGAAAGCGTGACAAAATTTTTATTATAAATAGACACAAAATTATTCAAAGTATTTATATTTATATAAGTTTAAGAAATATCTTTAATTTAATTTAGAATCATTTTTTAAGTAAATAAAATTCTCTTTGCATATATATGCCTTAGGCTTTATTTGGGCCAACTTTTGATCATTAATTTTTCGTTGCTTTAAAAAAAAAATTATTCTAGAAAGCTATAGTAAAAAGCAGTAAGAAAATGGTCTCAAATGATTCCTTAGTTTCTATATGTTCTTTATGTACTAGAGGATCATACATATGATCCATGAATCTTGCGTATGATTGAGTGATTGTATACATATAATATGACAGAATTTTATCATTTGAAAATGGTTAGTCCTTATAGGATTCCTAAAAATTCACATAATTTGCATTAATCTCAAGATAATATTTAAATTGGAAACTTCCAAAATTAAATCCATGACCATCCAAGCTCTAATTTCAGCAAACATATGTTGAGATAGTTGCAACTTAGTTTTTTTATTGTTGATATTCTAGCAACATGTATGTTTTTGATGATTTCAAATATTATTGTTTTGATTATAATTTCTCATAACATATTTTAGATGCAATGTTTTGTTGTTTATGTATACTAACATTTCAAGAAAATCATACTCTGGATTGTTGAAGACTTCAAATCAGATCAGTTTAGGATTTATTATAAATGAAGTTTTTACGTTTCATTTTATTGAGTCTGAGAGAGTGTGATTGTAATTGAGTAATTGTGCACACAAATACCGGAGGAGTGTTTAAAAGTTGTAGATTTTTTAACTGGTTATACTATACAAAGGCATTTCGTACGAGACGATTTGATCAGTTATTTTCCCCTATGAGTAATCAAATGAATATAAGGTAAATAATTTTTCTAAGTATGAATCGCAATGTACGATGTCGTCATCGTAAGTATGCCATCCAAAGTACGAATTGGATGGGTCCCTTTTCATCCCAATGAAGTTGAAAATTTTTTGAATTGATCGTACTATACTATGTCGGCATCGTAAGTATGCCGCCCAGAGTACGAGTTTAACAGGTCCCTTTTCATCCCGATGAACTTGAAAATTTTTTTAATTGATCATACCGTATGATGTCGTCATCATATGTACGCCGTCTAGAGTACGAGTTGGATGGGTCCCTTTTCATCCCGATGAACTTAAAAATTTTCTGAACTGATCGCACTATATGAT